AACCGACATGAGGTGATGTTTCACACAGCTTTAGGCGGAAGAGAACTCCGCGGGGTTTTGATAAGATCAAGACGTCGGGTTTGCAGAAGTTTAGTGCCCTAACCATGCCTAACCCAGATTGCAAATTATGGTTTCGAGATTGGGGCTTGCAGGATCACATGCGAAGATGGTGAGAAGACTGAAGAACCTAAGTTGTGCTTGGCATTCACGCCCTAAACCCTAAACCCTATAAACCCTAAGCCCTAAACCCCAATCCCTAAGCCCTAAACCCTTTAGGAGCTCCCTAGGTAGCTTTCTGTAGGCCCGGTGTGAGGTCCATGTCCGATATGCAGGATTCCGAAACTCAGGATGCCAGAAGCAAGTGAAAGCTTAGGGGTACTTAGAAATATTTTTTAATTTTTGGTTATCATAATCCCTAAGAAACAGCTAAGATTATAATTTTTGCTAGGGTTCTAAGTTCAGTATAGAAAGCTAGCACCAGAGGCCCAGAGGTAGCAATGCCATTGATGAAGAGAAGCAGTTTTGGCAGTGGCAGTCGCAGTCCCAATGGCAGTCGCAGCCGCAGCAATCGCAGCGGTAGCAGTAGCAGCAGCAGCAAGAGCAGTACTAGTAGCAGTAGCAGTCGCAGCCGCAGTCGCGGAGACGCAGTCGTAGTCGTAGCAGCATCAGCAGAAGTAAGGGCAATTGCAGAACGATCCATTTGCCTATCACCGGCATGGTTGACATGTTTGCCAGCTGATGCTGTCAGTATTATGATTGATTTTATTGGCAGCATCAGCAGCAGCAGCAGCAACACCACCACCGCCGCGACCGCCGCCGCCACGACGACCTCCACCACCACCACCACCACCAACACCACCAACAACACCACCGCCAGCACCAGCACCAGCACCAGCACCACCACCACCACCACCACCACCACCACCACCACCACCACCACCACCACCACCACCACCGCTGCCACCACCACCCCCGCCGCCGCCGCCGCCGCCAGCACCACCTCCGACAACCACAGCAACAGCAAACCCTAAGCCAGAAACGGTGAACTGCAAGAGCCATCCTGATTTCGGAAACCTCCATATCCTTGCCGTGTTGCAAACAGTGCACAGGTAGCTTAGAGATGAGGGGGCGTCTCAGGCACATGGTTTCTTAGTGCAAAATTACTTGAAACTTCTACGACTCAAGCCGCGCCTCTGCTTGCTTTTGGGGGCCTTAATAATTACCTATACTATTTTGGGGGTTCCTTGTTAAACCTATAGTGTAATGGGCCCCAAAACCCTATTCCACTTATTAAGGCCCCCATAGTGTGTATGTAGATTCGTTTGTGCTTTGTATTTCACACTAGACACCAGGACAAACCTGCCGCCCTGAACCCTGGACCCGTCACCTAGTAGAGTAGGTAAGCTTAAACCTCTTTGCGGGACTAGAACCAAGGATAGCCGGTTAACCTTTTAGTTTTCCAGGGTACTGAACAAGTAGGTCAATATACCACGTAGCCCAAAATTAAGGAAGAAACCTTGAATAACAAGAGGCTTAATTTCTGATTTAAGCTTTATTGCCTAGTTGAGCGGTATTCGGGAATATTGAACTTTGGGCACTTTACTCCGCTCCGACATACTTAGACTCGAGACAGAGCCCGAGGTATCTTCATGATGAGAAGCCAAATTCCATGCAACCTAAAACCTAATCAAACCCTAAACCACGAACTTTAAGTTATTGACGTCCCCTTCCGTTTGGTCTCGGAGAGACCCAGCAGACGCGCGGAAACCCCCGAATGACCATTCAAAAGTTGTCTGGTGAAACAACAAGCCCTTACCGAAGCCTTACGCAACCCTGTGAGACACTTTATGATCCTACCCAAAACCCTTAAAAAGCCCCTAAACCTTAAACCCTAAATCCTGCACCTTAAACCCTAAACCCGAGAGCCCATACAAAGTCCCTTTTAACAACACAGTCGGTCTCCCGCGGGGGTTTCCCCGACCGCGTGGGCGGCCCATAAGTCTGGGCCTTGCGGGGGCTCAGCGGGCGAAGGCCGATGTGGACGTCGGAGGAGGCCGAGTTTAGGGTTTAGGGTTTAGGGGTTTAGGGTTTAGGGTTTAGGGTTTAGGGCGAGGGTGAAGAATCTCGCTTGATTCTAAAGGTTTTGGTTCAGTTACAGGGCTTCTGGATTCTAGCTATCTAATGATCTATCGACCTATCTATCTATCTACATCTGTCCGTATCTATCTGTGTATGTATATATACATATATATATATACACACACACACACACACACACACACATTTCGGGTATGCATGCATGCATGCATACAGGCATACATACGTACGTACATACATACATACTGTTTTGGAGTGTTCAAAACGGCTCTCGTGACAGGCATTGCAGCGTCTTCTTGCGAAGCTAGGATGCCCAGTACTACCCTTATTCCCTTTTTGTAGTCCTAGGTTCCTTATAAGGTTACCCAATACCAAAAAGAGAGGCCTTTTTATTCTTAGGTTACTGGGTATCCTAGGAAGGTTGTCTGTAAACACCGAGTCGGCGGCCCTAGGTCTTACCCTTAGGGACCCAAAAAAGCACATAAGCATAAGCATTTTATGGGGATATCCATACCATAATGGGCTTCATTATAAGGGGGTTTGTATGGGAGATCCCTATCCTAATTTTTGCTTATGTGCTTTTTCGGGGCCCTAACCCTAAACCCGGGTTTAGGGTTTAGGGTCCTAGGTCTTAAACCCGTCGATGGTGAAAGTCTGAAGCTGTCTTTGGGTTTTGGGTTTGGGGCTCCTCCAAGAGTTCCTTTAAAGGCTGCTTCAAGGGTTCCTTTACAGGCTCCTTCAAGGATTCCTTTAAGTGCTCCTTAGGGTTCTACATCGGTTTAAGTACTTTAAGGTTGTCCGGACTCAATTAAAGCTCAGATAGACCGCTACGACTCAGGTGAACAATGCTGTCATCTCATCCGTGGGAAGCGCTGCTAGAAAGGGTGAGTTCTAACCCCAAAACTGCGTAGGGGCGCTACACAGTGTGAAGCGCCCTAAATCTTAGGTCTGAGCGATGTTGATGACTGTTGGTTTCCTGCATCCTCAACCAAGTGTTCAGAACCCGGCTTAAGCACAACAGCCCAAAAGCCCTATGCTTATAAACCCTGCGACCTCTTCCTGCTTCTATCCCTAGACCCTCACTACTATTTGCTTAAGAACACCGAAAAAAATAAAAAATATATTCCTTATGGGGGGTATTATAGGGATTATTATGTTTTATTTTTGGGGGTTTCTTAAGCAAATAGTAGCTAAGTACTGTAAGGCTTAGGAGGCAGTGCAAAAGGCTTCCTCGATGGTAGCTCGGCGTGAATTTTGAACAATCTCGTGCGCATTTCGCGGATGCGACCCTTTAGCTCTAAGAACCCTAAGTACAAGGCGCTTAGGACCCAAGGCAGTTTGACCAGGATTAAAATCATAACTAGGGGCTAAGCTTTAGGGAGTGAGTATTGTTAGTTAATAGGGCTCTATACTAATCTTATAACTTATTATATACAAGGCCCGGAAGTCTGAGTGCTAAGCCCCAGCCCTACTATGGGGCCCTTCATAATTGGAATGGGGTTTTGGGGCTCATTATACTATATCTATACTAAAGGATCCCCAAAATAGTATTGGTTATTATAAAGGTAATTATAAAGGCCCCTATATTAGTCACCCGTGTCTCCCCAAACACTGTGTGTGACAAAACTCTGCTGCACATGGCGGGACGGAAAAGTCGAGCCTTCTCCTGGGCCTGCGTTCATGGGACTTACAAGAGGATCCATTTTCTTATTGGCTCTAAACTCAACTTTTCAACTGTTGGGGTTCTTATAAGGTAGTCAATTCTGAAAGTTTCAACTTTTATTTCCTTGGGTTTTGGGCCAGTGAGGTTTGCTGTTGTTAGAAAGTCTACGGTTTAGGGTTTAGGGCTTTAAATCAGGTAGCCCCTTAAACCGTAAACCCTAAACCCCAAGTCCTAAACCCGTAAACCCCAAACTCCCTCTGCTGATGGACAAACTCCTGCATGACCCCAAGGACTCTAAACTATGGGAACTATGGTATATTCCTTATAATCGGTAATGCAGGATTTTGTCCATCAGCAGTTGTAGTCAGGTCGATCCAAATCGTTTGTCTAACTTCCGAAGGCAGGAGCTGAGAGCTCCAGGCCCGACCGAGTTTTAGTGTAATATAGGCTAGAAGCTGCCCCCACCCTGTAATAGTGACTATAAGGATCATATTAGGGCCCTAGAATATTCCTATTATACCACTATTACAGGGTGGGGGCCCCTTCTAAATAGTCTAAAATATAGGTAATGTAGGAGCCTTCGAAACAGGATGACTTTCAAGGGCTGCGGATACTATAAGGGCTACTATTTTCGAGGATTTGCAAAAAAAGAAACCACCACCACCACTTGGGCCGCGTGCTCAAAAACGCACAGCTATCCAGTTCCTATCTGGGAGTTTCCGAAACTGGGGGACCCTAATATAGTACCCTAAATAGAAGGATCCTTATTATAAATACCCAAATATGGTACCCATAATTGTCGGAAACTCCCATCTCACAAACTCTGCGTTCTGGGGAAATCAAGCACCCGTAAAGCCGACCATTGTTGCGCAAATAGTTGCGGCTTCAAGCCGCTGCGCATCTTGCCCTAGGCCTTGCACCTCAAACCCCGTTAATCAAGGAATAAATGGATAAATTTCTGTGTATATATATATATGTATATTGAATATACCTTCCTAGTAGTAGAGTAGCTAACCTCTAACGTGATTGGGGTAATTACTCTACTCCCTATATAATCCCAATGTACTTTCTAAGGTTAGCCTTCAGATCCGCAGGATACGGGACAAGTGAACACCTGGGTGGTTGGAAGTTGAGCTTTGTGTCATCGCAAGAAGCCTACAACTACTATGTTGCGAGATCATGTTTCAGCGATTTCAGAAGCTCTTGGGCTCGAGTTTGTACTCACCCGGCACACCTCAACATGCCGCCTGTAGATGAGTGGGTCCATGCGACCAGCCACGAGAACTTCACCCAAATTCGGGCAGATGGCCACCTCAAAGGTAATCACTGTGAAGACGAATTCTTCGACGGCGCGCTTTGCAGAGATGGGGCCCCTCGTGGAACATGGTTTAATGCCAACAACTATCGTGGAGGCACCATTACGATGACTCCTTACCCTGAGAAGGTGAACCATCCCACAGCGAAGGCATTGGCTTTCCCGGTCTCGTTCTTGCTCGGCGAGGCTGAGTACTATCACCTTTTCAAAATCAGCGAGCAACCTCGGGGATACCTCCAGGCCCCTAGTCCAGTGTTCATGGGTGCTTTGGAGTGTGACTTGTATCGGAAAACTCTAATCTGTTTTCATGAAATCCGAGGTGAAGTATGCGATCGTGAATGAGAGAGATCCCTTTTTCGATTGGTTTGCCGAGAACGTAGACCCGGTTGTGGGCAACTCGGACGCGTATGTAGCTCTCGAGTGGGACGAGGACCAAGGCTACATGTGGAGCGCAACAGACGCAGCCGAACGGGTTTTGGTCCTTGGGCATCCTTTATGGAACGATTTTCGAGCCCTGGACCCTATATAACAAATTGCCCCAGGCCACACTGAACCCAAACGTACAACTGCCCAGCCACAGGTCAGTGTCTTCCTCGTGAATCATCACGACGACAGCCCGACTGTCTCAGTCGAAGGAGTCCGTCCGTATGACATCAGGAAGATACCGGCCAAGCAGCATGGATGCAGTAGGTTTTTCGTCTAACAGGCTGTCGGGTGGCATCTTAAGCACTGGCTCGAGACTTTGCGCAGGACAAGAGACCCATTTGCACTCCCCCGAAGCGCTTGATGGCTCCTCCGTCCTCCCAAGACCCCAATTGCCCTCCCGCCTCGCTAAAGCTTAAACCGACCTTAACTTTAAGCCATCCTCCTGAACAGTCTGAGGCAAGTCAGCAGTCCGGGCAAGCTCAAGAGGCCTTAGTGAGCCGAGTGAGGGAAGAATGGCGTGGGAATGCGACTCAGTACCAGGTGCAGTAGGAGGAGGTAATCAGTAGCCGTTCTGAAACTAGTAACCATCACATTCCCAGCGTTAAAAGAAGCACATTTGGGTCTTCGTTGCATCCGTTGGAAGAAGGCTCAGGAAGCACAGTTGCGAATATGTGAGGTGGTGTGCTAAGGTCCTATGTACATGTCGGGCGGAGTCCCGCCGCTTAGTACAAAATCTGCTTCGATGGATTTGTTCGAAGTCCGGTTCCTCAACGCTGCCACCAGCGCAGGAGGTAATCAGATGAGTGCCTGATGTTTCTTCACGGGCCAGGATGCAGGCACTGGAGCTTCACCGCAAGATTCCAAGGGTAAAAGGAGGGACCCTTAATAAGGACCCCTAGGTATATACCCCTCATATGGCTCTTATGTACCCATTATATAGCCCATTATAGGGTAGGGGTCCCCATTAAGGGTCCCTCCTTTTCCCTTTTGAAAGATGCAGCCCAAAAGCCTCAAATACGAAGACCAGAACGCTACAGATTCATCGGGAGCTTCTGCGGGTTTCTCTGACGAAAGTTGCAGAAGGCGCCGACTTTACGACTCGATTGGGAGGCCATTCGAGCTGTGTGCTCCCTTTCTTCACAAGCTTTGGTCCGTTGTAATCGGCGCGCTCCCGTTTTCGAATGCCGAGTCTATTTCGAGGTTTGTCTAATCTAATCGTTTTCCAGGGGGCTTCTACCAATATTACAGATATTCAGGGTACCTCCCACATGAGCGCGACCTGCAGTGTACAGCTATACGAGCCACCCGGCATGCTACAGGAAAAAGGCAGAGTCAAGCAGAGTTCGAGAAGTCGGGGCTTAGGTCCCAAAGTTCCCCTGAGAGCGCTTGATTCAATCGGAAACTTGCTTTAATGACCATAGTCATCGGCGTCCTAGTGCCAAGAGAGGTTTCAGGGGTCTACATAGTTGTTTTGATTTTATAACGTTGTGGCGGTCGGGGCATATACGCGGTAGCATAGGGACCTCGAGAGTTGGAGAAAGCTATGTTATACTGTAAATCATACTATAATCATGTTAGGACTTTAAGAATACTGTTGTTTATGGTGCGGACCTGTGCGTGAGGCTGGAGGCGAGCAGTACTAGCTCGACTGCTCGCGAGCCATGGTCATTCCAGGCAACTGTGTAGCGATGTAGCCAATGCATCCTAGGCTCAACCGAGAAACTGACCCACCTGTGGCCCGGTATGCTGTGAGTTTAGGGTTTAGGGTCGCTGATCTTCAACCCTCAGCCCAGAACAGTAGACCTGTGGGTAGAGCTGGGCCTTGGACACCCAACCTTAGCAGGCTAACACCATGATTACAGAGCCTTTTCGGGGTCCAAGTACCAAATCGTCCTATAATATACTCCCCAACATGCGAACCTACATCACTAGTACCATCTCTTTTTTTAATATATACTCCCCAACATGCGAACCTACATCACTAGTACCATCTCGTATTTTAATTGCAGCTTCCTGATGAAAGGGTCTTTGGACCCTTCGAGGCAGCTGGAGAATCCTGGAGAACCCCAAGCTTCAAAAACCCTAAACCCTAAACCCTAAACCCCTAAACCCTAAACCCTAAACCCCTAAACCCTTCGATCTCTGCTGCAAGGTCTGGGGTTTCAGGAAAAACCAGCTCGAGCCCGGAAGCGCGGGGTTTTGGTTTTAGTTTTCTGTTTCTGTTCTGCTGAATGTGCAGGTACAAAGCTTCGCCGAAACCCATCAAAACCTTCCTATCTAAAGCTGCCCTCAAACCTTTGCAGAACCTGAACTCAACAGCACCCGTATCCCGAAATCCCGTCAGCCCTGCAGTTTACTTAAACCCTAAACCCCTAAACCCTAAACCGTTTACGGTTTGGGGCTATCGGGCTTAAGGTTCAAGGTTTGGGCTCAGCGAGCAGCGATGCCTGCGCGCCTTGCGGCTCGAACAAGGGAATGGCAATTGCTGCCTTTAGCTGAGGCGCACCCGTAGCAATAAATCGACCCTGAACCGGAATCCCTAAACTCAAAGCGATCTGGAGCCCCAGTCAACCAAATCTCAAGCCATTGGAAATAAGATGCAACATGTGCTCATAACAAGAGGCAGAAGACTAAGAACAAGAATGATACTCCTAGTAAAGCTGAAGTAAGAGTCGCCATAGTAATGGTATTCGCACTCCCGCAGCCCTAATAACCCTGTGTCCGTGACCGCGTTGTCCTGGCCCACACCGATGCGATGCGCCATGCTGGTCGTGCCCCTTGCTTAGGAGACTTGCATGCTTCTGTCTTCTTTGCATCAGCATTCTACCTTCTTCTTGTATCAAGTATTCCATCTCTTCGTATGCCTGCTGTTCTTCATGTTGATATTCCTGTTTACTATTTGCTACATCTTGCTACTGTAGCTTCCACTACTTCAGTTTGCCATGAGGCTTGTGAGTGCTGCCGTAAGGCAGGCAATGGGAATCATATCAACGATGAGGTAAGCCGCAGTAGTTGTTTTGTCAGAGAGGCCAGCTGTAAGCGAGAGAAAACTGTCACCGTCACCTCTGCCTTGACACTTTTCTATTGAGTTTGTAGTTTCAGTTTCAACCCTTAAAGAGAAATGGAAAACACATCCAAAATCTGTTGCTAAGATTTTTCTCTGTTACAGCAGGAGTATTCCATTCTCAGGTCAAGACTATATGCTCGTCGGAGCGGTCAGGTCAGAAGCAAAAAGTACATATGTATATACATATATCCTGAATTTGTTTATACATATATATATATATACACATGTAAATATTACTATACATATGTATTAGTTCGTTTATAACCCTTGTCATACCCCTTATAGTGCCTTTTATGTTAATCCTCCCACGGAGTTTTTGTTGCCTTATTCAGGCGTCGGATTTTGGGTCGTGAGTGGGTTTGGGGATTAGGTGAGAGTAATGCCTTCTTACAGGCTCATGGGACTTAGTAAGTAAGGGCTTAGGGTTCCCCGTAAGACTTGAAGGCTCATGGGACTTACTAAGTAGGGTTATAAGTAGGTTATAGTTAGGATAACCCCACTTAGGGGACTTATAACCCCAATTATAACCTACTTACTAAGTCCATTGATCCTCCCGCCGAAACCCGAGACGTCAGACCCTAAACTCGAACAACCTAAGCCCCAAACCCGTAAAGACCTAACTCCTAAAGCCTAAAACGCAGGCCCTAAAACCTTGGCCCAAAACCCTAATTAAACCCTAAACCCCTAAACCCCTAAACCCTAAACCCTTAACCACTAACCCTAAACCCTAAACCCCTAAACCCTAAACCCTAAACCCTTAACCCCCATAACATGAGAAATCCAAAGCTTCGATCCGACAGTCGCGATTCCCAAGGCTGTAAATCGCAATATCACGAATGTTCATCGCTGCTACTTACTACTATTTGCTTAAGAACCCCCAAAAAATAAAAAATAATAATCCCTATATTATCCCTATAAGGAATATATTTTGGGGGGTTCTTACTTAAAGGCTCATGCCCAGAGCTTCCAAAAAGTCCCTGAATGAAGGAATATTCCTGAAATCAGATTAGGAAGCCTGCTGGAATATCCCTTAATTAAAGGGTTCTGGAGGGTGCTACTTAGAGGCTCACGGGGCGTCGCAAGTAAGGCTGAGTAAGCTCATAAGTCATAAGTAAAGTTATACTTAGGATAACCTTACGTAGGGCACTCAGAAACGACCCTCATTAGAATCCTACTTGCTAGGTCCCCTGAACCCTTTCGCCCTAAGCGAACGTTCCGTCGGGTTGCAACCCCCTGCTACCCAGAAGCTCCAGAATACATCAATCATGGATCCTTCCTTCCATTGTGAACAGCCAGGGCCGTTTATTTAGGGGTTAGTAACCCTGAAGTAAAAATGTGCGTTCCGCGAGTTCAAGAGGTTTTTAGGCTCAAGAGTGTAGATGTATGTGCTCTCGTGGCTAAAGTGGAGAGTGCGTCAAAGCGCCTGACACTGCAACTCAACACGGTATAACCCTTTGCATATCGGATGCTGAAGGCTTTCGTTGATGCGAGGCAGTTTGAGGCTCTTCCTGTTAGCCAAAACATGGCAGCTTCCGAAAATAAATAGGGGACCCTATATAGTACCCCAAATAGTAGGATCCCTAGTACAAGGACCCCAAAATAAGGTTTTCGGAAACTCCCACGTAAACTTTGCGACTCTGCATTTCCCTCAGTATTCCTTACTTGGAGGCCCGGGGGACTTAGTACGACAGTACGTCGGTTATAAGAAGGGTTATGATTGGGGTATCTCCATGTAAAGTACTTATAACTCTACTTGGTTGGTAGAGTTAAGGGTATGGGGCTTAGGGTTTCAGGGCTCAGGGGATTTTGTAAGTAGGATTCTTCTTCTTCTTATTATTATTTTGGGTTATAAGTCCCCGCTATCCCAAATACATCCATACTAGTAAGTTGCCCTAAACCCTCAAGCCTGAACTCTAAACCCTAAACCCTAACCTGCAAGCAAAAAACGAAGCCCCCCCGGCTCTTTCCCCCCCCCTTCAGCGCAGGACCAACCTTTCATGTCCAGCATTGGGGCCGATGGAAGGCCTTCTTTTAGAGACCCAAAAGCACGAAAGTGGTTTAGGGGCTTGGGTTTAGGGTTGAGGGCTTAGCACAAAATCACAAGCAATTTTGAGGGATATCCCTACCTTATTGGGCTTCGTTATTAAAGGGGGGGGGGTATTTTCGGTCCTATTCGTGTCCTGGACACCAAAGCGAACGAGCTTTGGGTCTAGATTCCCCAGTTTCTTTAGGCGTTTAGGGTTTGAGGGCGTAGGGTTTAGAGTTCCTTTGAGAGTTTCTCTACCTTATTGGCTGAGTTTAAACTTTTCATTTTTTGGGGTTCTTATAAGGCAGTCGATTCTGAAAGTTTTAACTTTTATTCCCTTGGGTTTTGGGCCAGTGAGCTACAGGGGTTGCAGTTTAATTGGGGCCAGAGAGGACAGCAC